CCCTCCCTGGGGCTGGAGGCTGGAGCTGGGGCCCACCTCTGACCCAGCCTTTCTCCCCTTCTGCCCTGCAGTCCTCGGGCATCCAGCACTCTCACCACCAAGTGCCTCCCACCTGGAGGGGGACCCTCCTGCCCCGCAGGCTGCACCCCATCCTAGCCCCAGCCACGCGTGGCAGGTATCTGAGCAGACAGATCCTCCCTCAGGAATGACTCAGTTCCCTCTGGGCCTCTGGGTCTGGGCTCTGCTTCCCGCTTCAGCATGGGTGCCGATGAGTCACTCTGCAGTTTTGTGTCACTTTCCTGAAGTGTCACAAGGGGCTGTGAAAAAAGGATTTGGAGAGGAATAGGAAAAGGGGTGGCTTCCTTGGGGCTCACCCTCCAACCTCCTCCAAGGCCAGTCACTCCTGTATCCAGAAACTTCTCTAAACACCTCAGCCTGCCAAATTTTTGGGTGTGGCTGCCCCCAGCCTGGCCCCTGCCACAGCGGGTGGCCTGGAGCAGGCCTGGTCTGGCACTCAGGTCAAAGGTGCTGAGAGTTTCCAGTCTCCAGGGAATGCTGGTCTGCGGTGGGCGGTGGGAGGGGCCAGGCCCAGGAGCCCCATGGGAAGGGCAGGCGGGAGGCTGGGCTGCACGAGGGTGTTCGGGTGTTCGGAAGCTCGGGCCTGGGCCTGGGACGTGTGGCACACCTGAAAGGACTGCATGGCAGTGCATATGGGGCGGGACTGCTAGCAACGGGCGGGGACCTGGGCATCAAGTGTCCTCTGCGCGTGAAGCCCAGCGCTTGCCCCAAGGGCCTCCCTCCCTGGCATAGCAGCTCTGCAGGGACCCCTGGCTGTCTGCGCTGTGCTCTACCACAGAAGACAGCCGAAGGACCTGGTCATCCTAATGCCCTGGGATGTCCTATATCCCAGACCGAGGGCTCACACAGTGTGTCCTTGGGTCCTAGGGACACTCCTGGTGGCCATGAAAGGAGACAGGGATGAGATGGTGGTGGGAGAGCAGGGAGGAGGTGAGGAGGGTGCAGGAAGAGCTGGGGAGAGCAGGGGGAGGAGCTGGGGAGCAGGGGGAGTTGGGGGGTTCAGGGGAAGGTGCTGGGGAGCAGGGGGAGGAGGTAGGGAGGGTTCAGGGGGAGGAGCTGGGGAGCAGGGGAGGTGGGGTGCAGGGGGAGGAGCTGGGGGCAGTGGAAGTAGGGGGGAGGGTGCAGGGGGAGGAGCTGGGAAGCAGGGAAGGCCTCATGCACTCTGGCTGTGCCATCCTGGCTCAGAGACCCCTTCCTGTAGCAGGAGTGGAGCTGCTCTAATGGCACTGGGGGTGTGGGATGGGGGGTGACGGGAGGAGAGAGAGCACAGCGGCATGTCTCATCCCCCAGCTCCTGCTACCTGCTGAACCACAGTCCACACCCCTAAACTGAGCTGTCCAAGTGTCCCTTTGGCGTACGTCTGTCCTCATTTGGAATCAGCCTGAGAACTTCCAGGAACATCTCAAAAAGTTTCCGAGAACCTTCCACGCAGACCCAGCGATGGGGGGTGCCCTGTCCACAGCCCCCACACCCCTGCCCTTGTCCCCTCGGCCCAAACCTCTCCCTCGCACCCCATATCTGCCGTCTCTCTGGGGTGGTCTCAGGGCTGCAGGAGGCAGGGGCAAGGGGTCGGCAAGGTCGGGGGTGCTTGTGGGACCCGGGTTCTCCCCTTGGGCCCTGAGCACTCAACTGCCGTCCAGTTGGCTGAACGCTGCGCAGATTGTTCCCTGGGCACCGCCTGAGAGGCCCCAAAGTAAATTAAGACACTTCCAAGAAGAAGCTGGACCAGTTTCCAAATCTAAAAACAACTTTTATTGGTCGCCTCTACAAGAGACGCATTGATCAGCGGAATTACAAAACTGTACAGGAGGTACAAAAATAGGCCGTTTCTCCACTCACCCTCACATCAGCGGGCTTTAAAAATACACATAAAAACTGTAAGTCTGGCAGTTTATAAAATATAAAGCTAAAAAAAGACGAAAATTTCCACAAAGAGGGTTTATCACACAGTTCACACACGCCCGTCACAGGATCCACTGTTCACAGAGAGGAGAGAATGGCACAGAAACTTTTTTGGGGGGAAAATTGCCTTAAAATGAACGTGTCTACCCTGACCAAACTCTTGGCCGCAGAGCGGGCACGAGGCAGCCTCCCACGGCTGGGTCTAACCTTTTCTCTTCCGGTCTCACACGGGTCAGGGCTGTGGTCCGGATTGAAGCGGGTGGACGTGAAGCAAGTGCAATGGCAACTGGATACACGACCGCATAAAAATTAAATAAATATAAATAGGATAAATAAATAGATTGCCGCGGCGGGAACATTCTCCAGAGGCTGCATGTGCAAGAGCCGCCCGGCGGGCCGGTCATGCTTTCCAAGTAGGTGGGGACGCCCCCATCACAGTTTTCGGGGTACCGAGGAGTACTGGGCCCGCTGGACTCACTGAGAGCGCAGGCGCGGGGGGGGGGGGGTGCAGGGACTCTGGCAGGAAGTGTGGGTTAAGGCTGCCCCAGCGGGAAGCTCCCGAGAGACGGTGCTGGGTGGGTTTCCAATGAGTACAGAGAGTTCGGACAATCTGATGCCAGAGGCCGCACGAGACAGAGGGCAGGGGCAGGGCTGGTGGGTGCTTTGGTCTAAGGCTAATGAGCCAGCTCCAGGCCAGGCCTGAGGACACACGCCCTCCAGGACAGTGGGCCCTGAGAGCACAGGACATGGGGTGGGAGTCAGGGGGGACAGTGACAAGGCAGGACATTGGCTCAGGGGCCACAGGTGCCCACAGGAAGGAGACAGAAGCCTCGAACAGCCCCAAGGCAGCTGGGGCAGGGGCTGTACTCAGCACACATGTGTGCATATGTGTGTGTGTGTGTGTGTGTGTGTGTGTGTGGAGAGGGAGTGGGGGGGTACTGTGAACCCAGAATATTCTGCTTTGGCCACGAGACGGGCCAGTGACTTACTGCGTCAGACCAGCGAGTCCCCAAAGTGCAAATGCGCTGAAGCCCAGTGTGATACGGACAATCTCTCGACACTCACGTGAAAAAAGGCTCAAGAGGCCATGAAAGCAGCAGGGCACAGGCCTGCCCACTTACTCCGGGGGACCCAGTGGCCCCTCAGGAACTGGGCAGCCCACTGACCTGGCTAAAGAGGGAAGGGCTCAGCCCCCCACCCCAGCCCCGATTCCCAGAGCAGCGGGGCTCCCGGCTGGTCGACGACAGACACTGCCACGGCACGTGGGAGCTGGGGTTCTGGGCTCCCCTATCCTTTGCACAAGTGCCTGTCTCCATGACTCACACCCACGCACGGCCTCCCCAACCCCCAAAGGACTGACAAGGGGCCGACAGGGGCACGAGGCCCAACCCTTGGCTCCGTTTTCTTCAGAGTGCTGGCACCGTCCCACACGTCACCCCCCATGCTCTCCTAGGAGAGCCAGGTTTGCTCCAGACCGTCTCCCTTTCCCGGGAGACAAGCCCCCACCCCCACCCCCTGCCACTAAGCGCCGCATCCTGTGCCCCTCAGCAGGGTGGCACTCAAATCCAAGACTGCAAAGAGACAGGTCTGAGAGATGGGGTGGTCAGAGACTCTGGTGGAAAAGGCCTTTCAAGGTCTTAGCCCAGAGGTGGGCTGGGCATTGGCGGGCACTGCCCCCGGGAGACACTCTGGCAGCAGGAGCAGGCGCTGATGCTGGGTTCTGACTCTAAGCCCTGGGCAGGTGCAGAGCCGAGTACCAGGCAGCAGGGGCAAGTCAGGCTCTGGCCAGGTGCAGGAGACACCAGGGGCTGCGCGAGGGTATCTGGGTGCCCTGGACCCAATGAGGTCACCACTGAAGGTAAAGGGCAGAAGGTGCTGCTGGAGCAAGGCATGAAGAAAGGGGGAAATGGGGGTTCCTTTGGAGCAATGCATCGAGAAAGGGAGAAATGAGGGTTCCCTTTGGGGCAAGGCATTGAGAAAGGGGGAAACGGGGGTTCCCTTTGGAGCAAGGCATCGAGAAAGGGGGCAATAAGGATACCACTGGAGCAAGGCATTTAGAAGGGGAAAATGAGGGTTCCTTTGAGGGTTCCTTTGCAGCAAGGCATTGAGAAAGGCAGGAAGTGGATGCAGACCAGGCAGGGCAGGGCCCTCTCACAGCTCCCCAGGCAGCAGACAGGGGGTCTCTGAGCTCTCCAGGCCCCGGAAAAGCACTGGGTTGAGTTTCCTGGCACAAAACCCTGGCTGCCTTGGACCTCTCCGGCTCTTGGCAGACCGGAGATGAGCCATTTCTGACTAAAATGAAAGTTAAAAGCGCACGGTATTTTTGGGACAAAGTAAGGTCTTGTCCCAGGCGGCACCAGGTCCCGCTCCACCTCGCCCTACCAGCCTTCTCCAAGCGGACACTGTTTCAGGGGACACCCCTGCCCCCAACAGACGCTTCATGGGCGAGGCCCTGGTCGAGCTCACTAGCACTAATGTCACCTTCTAGGGTGTGATTGCAATATAAAACGATTAAAATCTGCCAAGAAAAATGCCACGGCCTGCCCAGGAGGCAGAGGGACAAGCTGGCCTTGGCTCCCAGCTCCGTCGTGTGCCTCATCGGCCCACGTGCCTGCCCCACTTGGCGGCCTGGGAATCTGTCACTTCTGGTCCTCAGAGGCCCCCTTCAGCCCCCACAGGACCAAGAACACAAACCCACAGAGACCACGGCTACCCCTCGTCCCCAGGCCCTACATGCGGGTCTCCTCTCCATTCTCAACGGACCGACCGATCTGGTCCAGCCGCGGAGCCCAGCCGCACAGTGGGGACGTCCAGTCCTGCCATCGTTCCGGGCCCCCCTTGGAGCTGAGGGCACAGATGGTGCATCTCAGCCCCACAGCGCCGAGGACAGAGCTGCCAGGAAGAGTCAAACCCGCGGCCGGGATGGAAGCGAGCGTGTCCGGGAGAAGGTGCGGCCCCTCCTCTGCCCTGCAAGTCAAGAAGCTTCCTGCCAGCTCCTGCAGGCACATAGGGGTCGGCTGCCACGGCGGGACCTGCCGGGGCTCAGAGGCCCTCGGGAGTGGCGGGGGGCTGCGCCTCGGGGGGCTCCTGCGAGTAGTAGGGCTGGAAGGGGCGCTCGTGGCTGCACAGCTCCAGGGCGCGGTAGGTGTGCGTGAGCAGGTGGGGAAAGCGCGAGGTGAAGTAGCGCACGAAGTCATCAGGCAGGGAGCCCAGCGTCTCCCGCACCTCGGCCGGCAGCTCCCGGTAATGGTGCTTCTGCGGTGGGACAGAGAAACTTAGCGTGAGACAAACAGATGGAGGAGGCTCACAGGTTGGGGTTGGTCACCCAGCAGGGAGCAGGGGAGCAGGGAGGGGCGGGCTCAGGCCCCAGGGTCTCCTGGAACCGATGGGCCTGTCCACAGGTGACCCGAGGCCCCCCCCCCAGGCCTCTCTGGAGAGCGAGATGGGGTGGTCCCTGCCCCGGCCCCAATGTGGGAAGGTGCCCGTGAGTCCCTGGCCCCACATGGCCCCTTAGAACCCAGCGGCAGGGAAGAAACGGCCTCTCCGCAGACAGCAGTTGGAGCAGCAGGAGAGGCCCCCGAGAGGGGAGGGGCGGGGGTCTGTGCTGCGCCCACCAAGCCCCCAGGGCACGACCCTCACCTTATTTCTCATGGCTCGGAGGAGATCCCGGACGGAGCCGCCTTTATAGGTTCTGAATTTGCGAAGATCTAGGGGAAACCCAGCAGATACAAGGTGAGAAGCACTGGAAGAGGGCGAGTCTGGGGGGCTTGGGGTGAAGCCAGGGTCCTGCGCAGGACCGGCAGGGTGAGACCCCCAGAGTGTGTGATGGGCTCGACCTGTCACTCAAAAGCCAGGGGCAAAGGTGCCTGGGTATGAGGGTCTCCCGGAAACTGGAACCCCCCTTGTGGCATCTGGAGCCCCCATTTCTGTCACTTTATCTGTGTCTCAGAATTGGCCACTGCTCAGGCCGTGGTGGTCACCTGTCTGCAGGGGGACGGTGATGTTCTCCCTCCAGTCCAGCTTCACCACCGCCCGCCCGCCTCTCTCCAGCTGCCGCACGATGGCACCATCCAGGGACTCCTTTTCTATCCGGTCACTCACATCCTGGGAGGGACACGAGGGTCACAGAAGGTGGTCAGTGAGGAACTGCTGACCGCCGGAGCACTGTACCGCACGCCAGGAACACACGTGGGGGCACCTGTGCCACGGCTTAGAGTCTCTGGCCCCACACCCCAGAACCCAGGGAACAGTGGGCACAGCGCCAGCTCCACGGCAGGGAGGGGCGCTGACACGCACCCGAATCACCCCACAGCTTTCCCCTGCAGGCCACATGCAGGCACACGCAGGCACACACACACAGAGTCACAGATACGCACAGACACACACACAAACACACACAGATACACACACACAGACATACAGATACAGGCACACACATAGATACACATACATAGACACACATACAGATACACACAGTCACAGACACACAAACACAGATGCATACATACAGACACAGATACAGGCACACACACATAGATACACACAGACACACATACAGATACACACAGTCATAGACACACAAAGACACAAACACAGATGCACACACACAGACACAGATACGGGCACACACATAGATACACACACAGATACACATAGTCACGGACAGACACACACTCACAGACACACACCCATAGACACACACAGACACACACACAGCAGCCACAATTCCTCAGCGAGAATGAAACAAAAGCTCTATTTTGATTTGCACACATTTGAAAATTCCCACCATTTAAAAATTACAACATGGGGCTGGAGCAATAGCACAGTGGGTAGGGTGTTTGCCTTGCATGCAGCTGACCGGGGTTCAATTCCCAGCATCCCATATGGTCCCCCGAGCACCACCAGGAGTAATTCCTGAGTGTAGAGGCCAGGAATAACCCCTGGGCATCACCAGGTGTGACCCAAAAAGCAAAAATAAAATAAAATAAAATAAAAATGACAACATATCCATCTGCTACACAACTTTTTCATTAACATTTCAGAACTCTGACATGGAAGAAATTTTTTTTAATTTTTTGGTCTTGGGCCCCACCCAGTGATGCCCAGGGCTTACTTCTGGCTCTGCACTCAGGGTTCACTCCTGGCGGTGCTCAGGAAACCATACAGGGTGCCGGAATCGAAACTGTGTTGGCTGTGTAGAAGGCGAGCGCCCTGCATACTGTCCTATAGCTCCAGCCCCAATATGGACACGTACTTAAAATGTTATATACTTGGGGGGGGAAGCAGGATTCAAGAGCACACTTTCGGGGCTGGAGGGATGGTGCAGTGTGTAGCCTTGCATGCGTGGACTGGCATATTCAATCCCCTGCACCAGGAGTGACCCCAGAGGGCAGAGCCAGGAGGAAGCCCTGGGCACAGCTGGGCTCAAAACGAAATGAAAAAAAAAAAAACCCTCCCATAGTTTAATGCTGGTCACCCTTTCATAAACATGAAAAAAATCTACTAAATTGTCCACCAGTGGTTCCCCTCAATTACGGAATTACGGGCTTTTGAGCCATTCTGCTTTATTTGTTATCTGTTCTTATATTTCCAAATTTCGGGGAAAGTTACCATTTTTGATAAAAATAAAACCCAACGTCTTGGGTGAGGCGAGGACACGAAGAGCTGGAGCCGGGCACTCAGAAAGCCCCGAGAATGATGCCTGGCTCTGCTGGGAACGGCCTGACGTGCCCCCAACACCAGCCCAGCCAGGCACATCTCCCGGGCAAGCACTGTAGGATGGGAGGACCCGCTGGGGCTCCTCCCTGCTCCCTGCCGCCCCCCAGACGCCTCTACCTGGAAGAACTGGAGCTGCTTCTCCAGGCTCCAAAAGAAGGGGTGCTTCAGCACGTGCTTGGCCGAGGGCCGCTTCTGAGGGTCCATGGCAATCATTTTCTCAATCAGCTCCCGGGCGACGACGTCCTCTGCAGAGACAGCCCAGGGGGGCACCCTGTCAGCAGTGAGAGGCCACAAGCCATGGCCGCCCGTGGGCCCCATACCCCAGAACTCGCTCCAGCAGAGGGACCGAGAGTTTGCCCCAAACTCCAGCTCACAGGGGGCTGGAAAGACCAGGGGTTGGGGCCCGGGGGACGTCCTCATGGACCCTGGGCCGTGAAAGTGATGCTATGTGGTCAGGGATGGATCTGAGAGGTAGAAGCTCGTGCCTCAGATATACGGGGTCTGGGTTTGACCCCCCAGCACCATAAAAACAAACAATGAAGTAAAATGTCACTTGGTGAAATGTGGGCGGCACCGAGAGAAGCTAGAGATGAAGGTTAAAACAGGCGGCTGGAGTGATAGTACAACTGGAAGGTAGGGGGTCTGCCTTGCACAGGGCCGACCCGGGTTCGATTCCCAGCATCCCATATGGTCCCCCGAGCACTGTCAGGAGTAATTCCTGAGTGCAGACTCGGGAGTAATCCCTGAGCATTGCTGTGTGTTACCCAAAAACAAAAAACAACAAAAACAACAAAAAACCAGGCGGCCGGCCAGAACAACAGCAAAGTGAGTAGGGTGCTTGCCTTGCGTTCGGCCGACCTGAGTTCAATCCCTGGCATCCCACATCCTATCTGGTCCTCTTCTGAGTGCAGAGCCACTCAGAGCCGGGAGTAAGCCCAGAGCATGCCTGAGTGTGGTCCCAAGCATGTGGCAGGGGGAGGAGGAAGGAGGAGGAGGAGGGGAAGTCAGAGTCGGTGGGGCGCCACCGGCCTACGGAATCTCCACACTGTGCTGCCACTTTCCCTACTGCCCTGCTGTGGCGAATGAGGGAAGCCAGCAAGATGAGTCCATGCCACAGGGAGGCCTGGCACCTGCCTGTCTGGGGTGGGAAACGGGAACTGTTGGGGCTGTTCCTCCCTCCCAGAGACTGCAGCAGGAACCCCGCGGTCACAGCTGGCCATGGTCCGTGGACGTCCCCTACGCCCCAGTCCCCGCCCGCTCCAGCTCTCCTTCTTGTCAGTGAAGTTTGGGGCAGGCCCTGGAATCTTCAGCCCACAGGGTGAGGACCTGGGTGGCGAGGAGACTCGGGGCAGCGGGCCTGGCTCCACCCCACCCCCCGTGCTCACCGTGCTTCTCAGGGTGCAGGCAGTCGAGGCTGTAGGCGCCCAGGAGGATGTTGGCCTGCCGCTGCAGGGACTTGCCGAAAGGGTGGCTGCCCTCGGAGATGACGTAGTAGAAGACGCAGCCCGCAGAGAAGATGTCCACGGTGTAGGTCTGAAGAGTCGACGGTGTGAGCCCTTCCCTGTGCCCTGGAGCTCCCCGGAGCACCAGATGCCCAGCTGCACTGCCACCCAGGCTGTGCCCCCCAAGCCTGGGTGCTCCCGCTCCGGTACCCCCGGCCCGTGCTGCGGCTGCCACTCACAGGGTTATCCTTGCAGTCTTCACTGAGCATCTCGGGCGCGATCCAGCCCTCGGTGCCTGGCACCCCCGAGCGGCGGCTGAAGCTGTGCCTGCCCACGGCCAGCTTCTTGCAGAGGCCAAAGTCGGAGATCATGGCCTTGATCCTGCCGTGCGCGTTGGGCATGGAAAGGAGGATATTGTGGGGCTTCAGGTCTCTGTGGACTAAGGGAGACATGGGGTCAGGTCGCCCCTCACCACTTGCCACGGCACGGGCCTCCGCCCTCAGTTTCTGGGCCACTGCGTCTGTCCTGGGGGTCTGGGTTCCAACCGGCCACATCCCACGGCAAAGACGGAATTCTTGCCCAGGGCTGTCACCTGCCCACAGGTATCCTGGGGACTGTGGCCCAGTGCCATGGCCCAGAACTGTGGCCCAGCACCATGCCCAGCGCCGTGGCCCAGTGCTCACCGATGTTGAGGGAGTGCAGGTGTGCCAGGCCCGACGTGGTCTGCTGCAGCAGGGTGATGGGCTCCAGGCCGAGGTGTGCAAAGTCCTTTTGTTCCACGTACTGCAAAAAGGCGGGGGGGGGGGGGGGCGCGAGGCGGGGGGGGGGGAGTCACCACACACGGCCCTCAGGACGGTGCCCACAGGCATCTCTATTTTTCAATTTGTTCTCTGATTTTGAGGCCACATCCAGCAGTGCTCAGGACAGGCTCCTGATTCTGCACTCAGGACTCCCTCCTGGTGGGACTCCGGGGGCCATCAGTGGTGCCAGGGATGGGACTCCGGGTCAGCACAGCCCCACCTGCTGTGCTCTCATTCCAGGCCCACCAAGTCCCCTTCCTAGTGATTCAGCTCAGGCTAGAAGCGTCTGGAGGCCCTGCCTGTAGCCTTTTGCTTCCCTGAACCACATGGTGTAGTCGGTTTGTTTACTCTGACTTCATTTGAAGGAAGGAATGGAGACACCCCACTGATGACTCCCTGCCCCACTCACGCTCACCAACAGATCTGCTCAGAGGCCAGCTCAGACCCAGCCACGGGTTGTTATGGAGATAGGCAGGAGGTGAGAAATGCACGCCCAGAGGCTCCTTCAACCGGCCTGCCTCTCAGTGAGGCCCGGGGAAGCCGAAACCACCTCATGGTGGGCCAGGCAAACGAGGGCAGCAGAGCTCTGCTGGACGGCAGGGGGCTTGGTCATGGGCAGCATCCCCTGGACCCGGGCAGGCAGCCCAGCACCGAGGGCAAGTGATCAGCCAGGTTTGTAGGAAGCCAGGAAGGAGCAGGATGCTGAATGTGCTCTCTCTCTCTCTCTCTCTCTCTCTCTCTCTCTCTCTCTCTCTCTCTCTCTCTCTCTCCTCTCTCTCTCTCATACACACACAGACACATAAAGACATGCACACAGACACACAGACCCAGACAAATTCACAGATACACACAGGCACACAGATACACAGAGACACACAGACACAGGCACATACACATACACACACACAAAAAGACACAGAGAGACATACATACACACAGACACAAACCCACATACAGATACACACAAATACACACCCACACACAGATACACACACAAATACACACCCACACAGAGATACACAGAGACACACACAAATACACACAGATACACACCCACACACAGATACACATACAGAGAGACACACACACAGACACAGACTCACACAGAGACACAGACACATACACAGACACACACCCACACACAGACTCACACATACACACATGGGAGGGAGTAAAATGCTCCATGCTTTGGCTGTGGTTAAGTGGGGACATGCCCTGCCTAAACACACCAGACCGTCCACTGAAGTGCAAACCCCAAGGGCTGGGGTGTAGTTGCCTGGCACACAGGAACCCCGGGTTTGACCCATGGCCCCACAGGGGCCCCTGACACTGAGCTGGAAGGAGTCCCAGAGCACTGCCAGTGGTGGCCTCAAAACAAAAGGAAATTTAAAAATTTAACAAATACAACCATATTTCATGTAGCTTCAATAAAGTTTAAAAAAAGAAAAAAAAGAATGTTTTTGGACTGGACTGAAGAGATAGCACAGCGGGTAGTGCCTTGCATGCAGATTCAACCTCCAGTACCATCTATGGTCAGAGCCTGGCCAGGGGTGACCCCTGAGCCCAGAGCCAGGAGCAGCCCTGGGCACAGCTGGATGTGGGTCAAAACTAAATAAATAACGTTCGGGCGACTGGAGACGCAGCTCTGTGGCGGAGACCCGCCCTGCATGGACAGGCCCTGGGTGTATCCCCAGCAGCTTTGAAATGATTAAATGTTCAGAAAGCAGCTAAACACCAAAATAAAAAGGAACCCAACCCTAAAACCCTGCAAAGGCTGTGGGGAGCCGCAGGGCGCCCACCTCCTGCAGTGTGGCTGCGCACAGCTCGATGGCGATGTACTGGAACTGGCGGTCACGCTCGGTGCAGAAGTAGCGGATGACGTTGGGGTGCTCGTCCGACTCCCGCAGCAGCTGCACCTCCCGGTCGGCGAAGCTGAAGCACTCGGGGAGGATCCTCTTGACAGCAACAGCTCGGCTGTCAAACATGCCCCTGGGGGGTGCCGTGGGGGCTGAGACCTCGGGCAGGGCAGGGGATAGTGGGGGGGAGGGGGGGGAGAAGATGTGCGGGAACACCCTCACAGCTGCAGCCCCCAGACCACGACCCGGTGGTCACATCCATCCTGGTCGCCACCTCCTAGACCCTGCCGTGTCCCCGCCCGGCCACTCACCGGTACACGATGGTGCCCTCCGCTCCATGGCCCAGCACGTCCTTGGGGCAGAACGAGATCTTCCCCACCATCACCATGCTGGTTTCTTCATCTGGGGACAAATCCGCGGATGCTGAGAGCCCTGAGCACGAGCTGCCTGAGTTCCCGCCCCCCCAGACTCTGGATTCAGGGGGCACCAGACACTCCCCGGGAGGGCGCCCCCCAGGCCTTTACCCTCCTCGTCTTGCTCCGAGGCAGGGCCCCCCCTGGAGGTGGAGCCACTGGAATGCAGCGAGTGGTTGGAGGCGCGGGGCGACGTGTTGGGGCTGCTGGTGGCTGAGCTCTCCGAGTACAGGCCGGATGAGTCCAGGGGCTCGGGCCCCTCGCCCCCCGCCGGGCGGAAGGGCAGCTGCTGGTGCAGGAGCTGGATCTTCTGGAGGTGCTGCTGCTGCTGCATGCTCTGGGGAGGGGCGAGCACACTGTTGGGCTTTGTGGGGGCCACAGGAGGACTCGGCCCCAGCGGGTTGGGTCTATTCCATTCTGAGAGCCCATGGTGGGCTGGGAAGGTGAAGCCCCACAGGGGGAAAGGGGGAACACAAGTGAGCAAGGTGTGTCGGGGGCAGCAGTCTGGGGCTGGCTGTGCCCTTTCCGGGGTCACAGAGAAGGTCATGAGGAGGCAGAGGGGGAAGACGGGCCGTGCAGCCAGGGCGTGGCCAAGGTCCCGTCACCCCAGCCATCACGCTGCCTTTCTTGTCCCCACCCCCGTGTCTCTGGCAAGTCCGTGTGCAGGGGTGGGGTGGGGTTACCATCTACCACGTTCCCTGCCCATAGGGGCAGCGGGGCTGGTGCTGTGGAGAACGCCACTCTGCCCTCTCAGCCTTGAGGCCATGCCCAGAAACCACCAGGCAATCGGAAAGTGACAGGACTCCCCAGAGCCCAAATTCTGCCCTGAAGGGTCGGGAAAGAAGATGTCCCCTGAGGTCCCAGGGCCAAGCGAGGGGGAGGCCCCAGTGATGACCGGAGCCCTCTCCCCAGCTGGAAGACCCATGGGGGGTGGCGTCTACAGCCCCGGCCTGGACAGACATAAGCACCCTGGTGTCTGTGCTCCTAGGGGATACTACCCTCCCACAGTTCCCGGCAACATGCCAAAAGAATGTTCTAGGCTTTTTTTTTCTTTTTGGGTCATACCCAGCAATGAACAGGGGTTACTCCTGGCCCTGGCTCTGCACTCAAGAATTACTCCTGGTGATGCTTGGGGGACCAAATGGGATGCTGGGGATCAAACCTGGGTTGGTGCATGCAAGGCAAATGCCCTCCCCGCTATGCTATCATTCCAGCCCCAGTTCTAGAATATCTTATCCGCGCCATGAGCACTGAAACTAGGTCATCGTGAGCTCACTGACTCCCACCTGGAGCGCTGAAGGGCTCAAAGGCCACCGTGCTCCTCAGCTGCTCCCCAACCAGCAGCCTTGAAGGAAGGGACACCCCCTGGGGCCAGGTGTCACCAGCCATGACGCCACCCACAGCACCACCTGCTTCGCCTGATCTCCCCTTGAGGAAGAGACCCGTGGGTGCCCCCTTGGGAGGGAGGGGGCGTGTGGAGAGGAGCAGCGTGAGGACTCACCAGGGGGTAGGTGAGGATGAAGGCCACCCAGCCGATGAGCAGGAACGTGCTAAGGATGATGGTGGCGATGTCCTTGAGCACCGAATCCACGGGGGCCTCGGGCTTGGCAGGGGCGTGGGCAAGCTTCTCCTCCACGTCCTGCGACAGGGTGCTGGGCGCCGTCTCTGACGCCTGATCGACAAGGTTGATGACCTGGGGGTGGGGGTAGGGGTGTCACTGTGCGGGTTCCAGCAGAGTCCCCAGAACCCAGGGAAGTCAGGGTTACTGGGTTCCACAGTGACGGGGTGACTGGCCTGTGCTGGTGTTTGTTGAAGTTCACAGAAGATATTGGTGCCTTTTTGCCTTTTTCTTTTTTTGGGGGGGGGTGTCATTTTTTGGGTCACACCCAGCAATGCTCAGGGGTTACTCCTGACTCTCCTCTCAGGAATCACTCCTGGTAGGGCTCAGGGGACCCTATGGGAGGCCGGGGATTGAACCTGGGTCATCCGCATGCAAGGCAAGTGCCCTACTTGCTGTGCTATCGCGCTGACCCCAGTTGGTGCCACAAAATTTGAAGAGACCCGGCGCTGTTCAATTCAACCCTAGTTTATTGAAGGTCTGGGGGCTGCACACAGCAGTGTGCCTGCAGCCCCAACCTTCCCCTCCGGCCCGAGAGCAGGGGGGGGGTCCCTGCTGCAGTGAGGTTATTCTTCCCCAGAAACAGTTTTCAGGGCAAGAGTGTGGCTCAGGGGTAGAGCACGTGCCTGGCACCGCCCAACATAGCCTGGTGACCCCTGAGTGTTGCTGAGGCCCAAGCACATCATCAGCTGTGCACTGGCCGGGGGCTCCCTATAAAACAGCAGCTGCCAGGGCCAGGCATGTGGTGCCTCGGGAGCCCCTGGGTTCCACCCCTGGCGCTGCAGAAAACAGAAAGTTCTTCGAGTGACACCCGCAACCTATAAAACCCCCAGTGGAGGCAAAAGCTTCCTGCTCCGCTGACAGCTGGGACAGGTGGGAAAAGCCTGAAATCGTCACACTGGAATCTGCAGAAAACGTGGCCACCATCCATCTGATAACACAGAGAGCCATGAGTGCGCACACATGCACAGACATGGTACATATGTACACACACCTGTATATGACAGTCTAGGCACATGTTACCTGGAAATATCCAGTGCGGATCCAAACACAAAAAGGTTTACTCAAGGTTTCCACTACTAGCCACTTTTTTGTGGGAAGAGAAGGTGGGGTGAGCTTGGCACACCTGGCAGTGCTCAGGGCTTACTCCTGACTCCTGTGCTCAGGGGTCACTCCTTGCAGGGGTTGGGGTACCATACATATGGTGCCAAGGATCAAATTCAGGTAAGCTGTGTGCAATGGAAGTGCCTTCCCTGCTGTCCTATCGCTCCACCCCTGTCACTCAGTTTCTGAGAAGGATAACTGTTGATGCTCATTTGGATTGGGGGCTCTTACGTAAAAGGGATTTTACTTAAATGAGATAAACAAGTGAGATAAGTCCTCCAGGTTCTTAGCATCTCTAGGGCTTGCAGAACAGTTAGGAGAATGCAGAGGTCGGTCCTGAAACATCCTCACCTCAGTGGGGTTGCTGAGGCTACGTGATACCACCAACACACAAACCCCCCCCCCCACACACAACCATGAACACTCACACAAACACACATACACACATTCATACAAACATGATTATTCACATGTGCAGCACACATGCACATTCATACACACGTAGACACATTCACACAAACATACATATTCACATGTGCACGCACGAGTGCACACACATTCATACACACGTACACATTCACACACACATTCATACACGTGCAAACATTCACACACACATGCACGCGCACACACATGCACATGAGGCCCCTGGGGAGCCGGGAGTGCAGCCGGGCCCACTCACTTCCTCGAAGCTCTTTGTCTCCGAGTCGGCGGGAATCACGTTCTCGCGGTGTTTGGGCAGGTTGTTGGGGAACTTCTCCAGCATCTTGGTCGATGCGGACAATGGGGTTTCATGGTGCCCTACGAGAAGAAAAATTCCTCTGGTGAGCGGGGTCCGGTCAGGGGCAGCTGTGGGCACTGATGAGGGTGCCCCAGAGAGGGTCTGTAAAGTGGGTGCCAGGGAGAGGCAGATGCAGGAGCTCGTAGCTGCCACTCAGCACTGGGTGACGGTGTCAGAGTCTGCAGGGGCCAGAGGGGGTGGGCGGGAAGGGGGTGACGGCAGTGGTCCCCCATCCAGGGCAACTGCCCTGCGGGGTCCGTCCATCTCAGCCCCAGTGATGAGAGCCAGAGGGGTGTGTGGGCAGAGGGAGGGTCCCTGGGCACTGTCCTTACATGAGGACGGGGCCACGGCGCCCACATCATACCTTGTGGAGGACCTACAGGTTACTCCGTGAGGGACAAAGGGGGAATTCGGGGGTAGGAGGGGGCCCTGGGCTTGCTGGGACCCCGCCAATGGCTCCTCCTGGCCCTCACGTGCCCACTGGGGCCGCCAGCACTCAAGGTCTCCTCTGTGCTCTCCCAAGGTAACCCAAGAGCCTGGGTGAGAGCTCACCCTGCGACCTGGCGGGTGAGGGCGGCTGGGCGCCTGCCCACGGGACGGGCCTACCTTGGGGTGCAACCTCCACCTGCCGCGCAGCCTGGCTCTACAGGGAGACCCTCACTGAGTCCTGCCCTGTCACATGCTGCCCACTCCCCACCCCCACCCCTGGGCCCTCTATTGGGACTGGGTGCCTCATCGGGGGTCTGTCCACTCCAGAACCCCAACTCATAGGTGCAGGCAGGGCCTGGGGTCACGTGGGAGCTTGCTGAGTACCTCTGAAACCTCCTCTGAGAAGCCTGAGGTTGTGTTTCCCCGCACCACCCCAGAGCCCCACCTGGACCCCAACTCAGCATGGAGCAGCACTGCCGGGAACCAGAAATGCCGGCTCTGGCCACCAGGGGGCAGCCCTTCGCCACCAGCAGCCCTTACCGATGAGGAGCCAATAGTTCCTCAAGTAGTTGAGCTTGCTCTTCCCCTTGAGGGCGGGGTCGAATTTGAGGTCCGTGCTGGGCGTGATCACACACTCCCCCTTGTCTCCAACGGTGACCCCATCGGTCTGGGGGCCTTCCAGCAACGGAAGCGTGCTGCCTCGGGGCTGTGGAGAGGGACGTGGGGTGAGGCCTGGGGGCAGTCCTTGGTTGCCCTGCTGGACACTCAGACAACACAAAGGCCCTGGGGCTGCCCAGAGGGGGGACACCAGTGTCCTCCTGCTGACTGTGCCCGTCTGAGCCTGGCACAGGAAGGGACGGGGGACCGTCAGCACTCCTGTGGGTGAGGGGCTGTGGCTGATGACGTGGCCATGCTGGAGGGGGGTTCTGAGAGCACTGGAGTGAGGGGTCAGGGCTATGGGGCCTCGGTGTCCAACATGTGTGAGGCAGTGAGGTCTGAGGGTTTGGACAGGTCACAGAAGGATGAGAAGGGTTTGAGGGGGAAAAGGGAGTGAGAGAGAGAGAGAGAGAAAGAGAGAGAGAGAGAGAGAGAGAGAGAGAGAGAGAGAGAGAGAGAGGGTGGGAGGAGAGAGAGATGGGCTAAGAACAGGAGAAGGGAGAAACCCAGGGTTAATGGGTTAATGGGTTGGGGCCTGGCAAGAGGGAGAGCTTCAGGCTCAAGGATTGGGGGGAGGAAAGGGCGACTCTCCAGCACCTGCGGGTGTGGAAGGTCTCTGTGAGGATCTGAGATGCGGGTTCCCCATCTCTGACTACTAAAGGTGTGGAGGGCTAAAGTCAGCGACAACTGAAGCAGGCCAGGAGCGGTGCGAAATTGCGTCCCACCACCCCGCGCCCCCAACCCCATTTCCCCACACCCGCCACCATAACCATGCACACACTCACTACCATGTCCACGCGCATACACACACACACACACACACACACTCTACCACCACAGCCACACACACTCACCACCACAGCCATGCACACACACACACACACCACAGCCACGCATGCACACACTCACCACAGCCACAGCCACACACACACACACACACGCACTCACCACCACCATGTGCGCACGCACACACCACAGCCACACATACACAGATGCACACCACCACAGCCACACACACACATTCACCACCATGGCTGCACACACACACACTCACCACCATGGCCACGCACACACACTCACCACCATGGCCACGCACACACACTCACCACCATGGCCACGCACACACACTCACCACCACGGCTACGCCCTCGTGCACCATGGATGGGGAGGCGTACAGGCTGGTGGAATATTTCCCCACGTACAGCGTCGGTCTGGGAGAAGAAAAGGTCTGTGAGTCCCACGGTCACTGGGGTTCTAGATCCCACAGCAGAGGACCTGGGCAGCCACCAGACCCCCTGCTAGGATGTTATTTGTTGGGGCCCGGAAGTGCTGCAGAAAGGCTAACAGGTCTAGCCAGGATGCCGAGAGCTCAGGAGCACAGGGAATCCCACAGAGGGGAGACGTCTGGCCCCCCCAGGGGTTCACTCCTATCAGCGGCACCACGCAGAAAGTGGGAGCTGCCCCCACCACCCCTTGCTGGTGACTGGCCACAGTCAGCCTGGGGCCTCTCTCAGGGGGCCGGAGTGCAGCAGGGAGGGTGTTTGCCTTGCACACGGCTGACCCTGGTTTGATCCCCAGCATTCCATACAGTCCTTAGAGCCCCACCAGGAGTGATTCCTGAGCAAAGAGCCAGGAGTAACCCCTGAGCAATGCCTGGTGTGGTCCGACACCCCCCCTCCCAAGGGTAGCCCCCTTGCTGAGAGAGCCGGCAGTGTAGCCCCACGGCTGCCTCCACTCTGCAAGAAGCTGGGGCTCTGCAAGACACAGGAGGGTATGTGTGTGTGTGTGTGTGTGTGTGTGCGCGCGCGCGCTCACCCTCCACTCTGCCTCCATCAAGCACAAAGCTGGGGTTCTGCAAGACACAGGAGGGGTGTGTGTGTGTGTGCCTGTGCGTGTGTGTGCCTGTGTGTGGTCCCTGTGCGCAGGGCCCCTTCGGGGGACAGATCACGTGAGCAGAGAGCCAGGCCCCGCGCTGGGCGCCAAGGACACCCCCTCCCGCGGCCCCTCCCGGGGTGACTCACGTCAGCTTGCTCTTGGCCTCGGTCTCCTTGGGGAAGGGGTACTTCCACTTGGTGATGCGGCCCACCTCGCCGGACATGAAGGTCAGGTAGCGCAGCGTCTCCACCGCCACGTTCACGTGCGGCACCTTGCGCAGCCCCTCGCGCTGCCACACGTAGAAGGCCACCACCGGGGACCCGTAGTTCTGGATCCACAGCACGTCCCCCGACTCACTGTCCACGGTCACCACCAGCCCGTCGCCGTTGGACACGAAGTGGGACATCTCTGCAGGGGTCAGGCAGGCGCTAGGGAATCGGGGTAGGCAGCCCCCGTCCTGCCGGCCCCCTCAGTCCCTACCCACCCCCAGTCCCTCCAGCCCCACCCTCTCCCCAGCCCCCTACACCTCCCCCCTCCCACCTCAGACCCCTACACCTCTCCCCTCCTACCTCATACCCCTCTAGCCCCTCCCCTCTCTCTCAGTCCCCTCCAGACCCTCAGCCCCCATCCCTCTCCCCTCTCCGCCCCCTCCAATCCCCAGTCCCTCCCCTCCCCACTCAGCCCCCTACACCTTCCCCACCCCTCAGACCCCTTCACCTCTCCCTTCCTCCCTCAGCCCCCTATACCTGTCCTCTCCCCTCTCAGCCCCCTACATCTCTCCCCTTCCCCTCAGCCTCCTACAGCCCCTCTCTTCCCCCCCCAGCCCCTTCTTGCCCCTCCCCGCCCCTCCCAGTCTCAGCCGCCTACAGCCCCCTCCTGCAGCTGCAGCCTTGCATGCGGAAGCCCAGGCCCTAGAGTCTGGAATAATCCCCTTGGCTCTGTGTCACCCATCCCAGCAAACTCGCTCAGGCTGGGGTTGTTAGACCCGAGAGCTGCCGGTTCCCCTCTGGGAGCCTCCCCTTGGGGACCTTCTTGAGCACTGTAGCCAAGCCCAGGACGAGGGGAGCTTGGAGGGAAGGGGGACACCAAGGAATTGGTGCCAGCCAGGATCACTTGCACCATGGTTGGTGGAAGTCACGGCCTGAAGTCCGCCCTCCCCGCCCACTGCCTACCCGGCCCACTGAGTCCTGCTCAGAGGCCAACAGGGCTGAGTTTTGGCGGCCGTGTGGACGGCAGCTTCCCGGCCAGGGCTGGCTTGCATTTTTGCTGGGAGTCGGGGAAACAGAGGCATGGTCAGGGAGAGGGTGCTGATGCTTAGTTCTGTTCCCCAGGCTCGGGGTTAAGTCCCTCGTTTGCTCGGCCCGAGAGCGCGAGGGGAACAGAGCCCCTCACTCACTGTGCTCCAGGTCGTCCTCGGGCCGCGACGCGGCATAGTCAAAGTAGGTGGCATTCCAGCGGAGCTCGCGCGTCTTGGTGTCGTACATGGTGATGGTGTACTCTGGGGACAGGCACCACCCGTGACTCAGGGGCCAGCGGGGAGTGAAAGGGCATGGGGAGAAGAGGGGACGTCGGGGACCCGGGGGCGCACATGCACCCGGAGGCGCCGTGTGATGGTGTAAGCCAGTGAGGGCTGGCCAATGCGGGCATTCGGGGTCAGGATGCAGGGAGCAGCATCTGGCCGAGGGGCCCCCCGTCTGTGCTTTTACAAGCTTGGTCTGGGGGGCGGGGGCAGGCAGTTTACCCTGCCAGGGGCTCAGGAGGGAGACAGTGCGGGGAGACCGGGGCGGGGGGGGGGGCGGGTAGCAGCACGGAGATGGGGAGACGGGGGCTGATCAGGGCACGCAGCCGTGCGACACCCTTGGGCGGGCAGCTCTAGACTCTGAGAGAGGAAGGCTGGAGGAGGGGAGGGCTGTGGGGGGGGGACCGCCAGACGCCCCCCTCACCTGTGCGTCCGAGGTACAGCAGCGACGTGGAAGGGCAGAGACTGTCCGCGAAGGCCGACGACAGCGTCTGCTGCTTCTCCCCGGTCAGCAGGTCCACGACGTACCAGATGTCCTGCTTCTTCCCTGGAGGGCCGCAAGGACAGTCCCGTGGATGCTCACCCCAGAAGGGAACCAATCCCACCAATCCTCAGGGGGACTCAACAGGCCCCGCCCCGCTGACAGGCCCAGGCCCGGCCTGGGACTCTGAATGGAAAGGGGGAGGGGCTGACGGGAGTGTGCCAGGCACGGAGCCTGCTCTGCTACGGGAAGGCCCGGGTTCCAGCCCCAGCACCACATGGTCCCCTGTGCCCCACCAGGAATGACGTGAGCGGATGGGATGCGCACTTTTTATGCAGCTAACCCTGGTTTAATCCCCAGGACCCCTCATGGGTCCCCTGAGGGCTGCCAGGAGTGACCGCTGAGTGCAGAGCCAGGAGAAAGCTCTGAGCACCACCAGGTATGACACAGAACCAAATGCATCATAAAGCATGGTGCCTAAATAAAATAATAATGATAATAGGGTCTGGAGCAATAGTACAGCAGAAAAGGTGTTTGCCTTGCATGCGGCTGATTTGGGTTGGATCCCTGGCACCCCATAGCACCCAGCCCACAACCCCCGGAGCCCGCCAGCAATCATTCCTGAGTGCAGAGACAGGAGTAACTGCTGAGCACTGCCAGGTATAGCCCCACAACAAATAAAGAAAAACAGATTAATAATAATAATAATAAAGTTAAAAGGTAAAGGCCCGAGAATAAGGAACACATGGAGGGTGCGGGATCCCGGAGGAAAAGAAAAAAGAAAAAACAGGTTCCAAAAAGAGCCGAGAGCACCGGCAAGTTCCAGATGGAGTAGGCGCCGCATCCCGCCTCCCCCAGATGGAACCCTGGTGACCAGAAGCCTCTACAAACACAGCTCGAGTATGCGGGAACGAGGACTTTTTCTCAAATCTGCCGGACTACACCTCCCAGGTAACCTCTGATTCCGGAAGTCACGCCCACAGCCCGCCCCCCAGCGCCATCTTTGAAGCGTTCAGAATAAGGAACACATGGAGGGTGCGGGATCCCGGAGGAAAAGAAAAAAGAAAAAACAGGTTCCAAAAAGAGCCGAGAGCACCGGCAAGTTCCAGATGGAGTAGGCGCCGCATCCCGCCTCCCCCAGATGGAACCCTGGTGACCAGAAGCCTCTACAAACACAGCTCGAGTATGCGGGAACGAGGACTTTTTCTCAAAACCGCGTGGCCGCTTACGCGGCCGCGCGACATCTCTCTATGTACAAAGTGATCAATGAGAAGTAAACCACCCAATCTTTCTCCCTGAAAATCAGAGTTAAGTTTGGAGCATGGCCACAGCCCCAGAAACACAAGGACTTAATGCAGAAACCAGCAGCTTAGAGCAGAAAAGTGAACGGACGATGAGTTAACCCAGGCCATCATTTCTGCCCAGAGGGGAAAGGGTGTTGCCCCATTCGCCCTCTCTTCTCTGGAAAGAAGGATGGTGGCCGCATGGGAGCCTTGTGGACAGCAGGTATGAGCCGGGGGTGTGGGGGCGACTAAAACCTCATGGGAAGAGGGGCGTTTTGGTCCGTCCTTCATGCCCTACCGAGGTCACCAGTTGCCCCCCACGAGCGGCTCCCCAGCACAGCCACGGCCCCAGAAGCACAAGGACTTAATGCAGAACCCAGCAGCTTGGAGCAGAAAAGTGAACGGACTATGCGTTAATCCAGGCCATCAAGTCTCCCGGAGGGGAAAGGGTGTTGCCCCATTCGCCCTCTCTTCTCTGGAAAGAAGGATGGTGGCCGCATGGGAGCCTTGAGGACAGCAGGTATGAGCCGGGGGTGTGGGGGCGACTAAAACCTCATGGGAAGGGGGGCGTTCCGGTCCGTCCTTCACGCCCTACCGAGGTCACCAGTTGCCCTCCACGAGCGGCTCTCCAGCACGGCCACAGCCCCAGAAGCACAAGGGCTTAATGCAGAACCCAGCAGCTTGGAGCAGAAAAGTGAAAGGACTATGCGTTAATCCAGTCAATCATTTCTGCCCAGAGGGGAAAGGGTGTTGCTCCCTTCCGCCCTCCTCCCTCTGGAAAGAAAGATGGCGGCCACATGGGAGCCTTGTGGACAGCAGGTATGAGCCGGGGGTGTGGGGGCGACTAAAACCTCATGGGAAGAGGGGCGTTCCAGTCCGTCCTTCACGCCCTACCGAGGTCACCAGTCGCCCCTCACGAGCGGCTCTCCAGCACGGCCACGGCCCCAGAAGCACAAGGACTTAATGCAGAACCCAGCAGCTTGGAGCAGAAAAGTGAACGGACTATGCGTTGATCCAGCCCATCAAGTCTGCCGGAGGGGAAAGGGTGTTGCCCCATTCGCCCTCTCCTCTCTGGAAAGAAAGATGGCGGCCACATGGGAGCCTTGTGGACAGCAGGTATGAGCCGGGAGTGTGGGGGCGACTAAAACCTCATGGGAAGGGGGGCGTTCCAGTCCGTCCTTCACACCCTACCGTGGTCACCAGTTGCCCCCCACGAGCGGCTCTCCAGCACGGCCACAGCCCCAGAAGCACAAGGGCTTAATGCAGAACCCAGCAGCTTGGAGCAGAAAAGTGAACGGACTATGCATTGATCCAGGCCATCAAGTCTGCCGGAGGGGAAAGGGTGTTGCCCCATTCGCCCTCTCCTCTCTGGAAAGAAAGATGGCGGCCACATGGGAGCCTTGTGTACAGCAGGTATGAGCCGGGAGTGTGGGGGCGACTAAAACCTCATGGGAAGGGGGGCGTTTCGGTCCGCCCTTCATGCCCTACCGAGGCCACCAGTTGCCCCCACGAGCGGCTCTCCAGCACGGCCACAGCCCCAGAAGCACAATGACCTAATGCAGAACCCAGCAGCTTGGAGCAGAAAAGTGAAAGGACTATGCGTTAATCCAGGCAATCATTTCTGCCCAGAGGGGAAAGGGTGTTGCTCCCTTCCGCCCTCCTCCCTCTGGAAAGAAAGATGGCGGCCACATGGGAGCCTTGTGGACAGCAGGTATGAGCCGGGGGTGTGGGGGCGACTAAAGCCTCATGGGAAGGGGGGCGTTCTGGTCCGTCCTTCACGCCCTACCGAGGTCACCAGTTGCCCCCCGCGAGCGGCTCTCCAGCACGGCCACGGCCCCAGAAGCACAAGGACTTAATGCAGAACCCAACAGCTTGGAGCAGAAAAGTGAACGGACTATGCATTGATCCCGGCCATCAAGTCTGCCGGAGGGGAAAGGGTGTTGCCCCATTCGCCCTCTCCTCTCTGGAAAGAAAGATGGCGGCCACATGGGAGCCTTGTGGACAGCAGGTATGAGCCGGGAGTGTGGGGGCGACTAAAACCTCAGGGGAAGGGGGGCGTTTCGCTCCGCCCTTCACGCCCTACCGAGGCCACCGGTTGCCCCCCGCGAGCGGCTCTCCAGCACGGCCAGAACTCCAGAACACAGAAACCAATTTCTTAACTATCTGACTTTCAGTAGAAATACTTCCAGGGTCAATAGGTAAAAGAGCAGAAATCCAAAACCAACATTTAATTCTTGAACCCAGCCGTAGAAAGCAAATCACTTCACAATGCTTTTTCAGCATGTCTGATTTGGGGGTGGGGGTAAACTCTAAATAATAGTGGTGAATCTTTTATTGAAACAATGAATCTAATCAAAGCAGATAGAGTGTTAACTAGAATGCATCTGCCTCACAGGGACGGGGAGGGGTGGGGGGTGGGGTTTTATTGGGGTTCTCATGGTAAAAATAAGTATTGGTAAAGGGAAATGTGTTTGATATTTGCATGACTGAGACATAAACCTGAAAGCTTTGTAACCTTTCCCACAGTGATTCAATAAATAAATAAAAAAAAAAAAAAAAAAAAAAAGGTAAAGGCCCTCCCGTTGTTCGTCGATTTGCTCGAGCGGGCCCAGTAACGTCTCCATTGGAGACTTTGTTTTTATTGTGTTTGGCATATCGAATATGTCACAAGGAGCTTGCCAGACTTTGCCGTGCGGGCGAGATACTCTCGGTAGCTTGCCGGGCTCTCCGAGAGGGGCGGAGGAATTGAACTCGGGTCGGCCATGTTGGTTGCATGCAAGGCAAACACCCTACCGCCAAGGAAAGAGGAGCTGGCATGACCACCTAGTTACCTGCTCCCTGAACGGGGTTGAGGAGTCATCTCAGACCCCTCCCCCCACCGCCACTGTCTCTGGCCCCAGGTGCTCCCATCAGCTGATAACAGCAAGACAGTGTGGGGTCAGCGAGCACAGTCAACCAGCATTGAAGCAGAAGACCCAAAGCCCACACCCCCATGTGGGTCCACAGTGTCCACGGCTGCCCGCGACATGCGCATTTCTGGGACAAGGCTTGGATCCGGGGAAGTGGACCTGCATGTGCTCTCCTCACCCATAGGCCAGTCGAAGGGAGCCAGAGTGCTGGGATGTCAGGGATATCCCAGGGTGCCCAGAAGTACCAGCTCACCACTGGGTTCTCAGAGGTGCAGCCCATGGGTGCCCTTTGCCCCTGGCTCCTGACATTTTTTTGTTTTTTAATTTTTGGGTCCCAAACAGTGATGCTCAGGGGTTACTCCTGGCTCTGCAATTGCTCCTGGCGATGTTCAGGGGACCATATGGGATGCTGGGGATCGAACCCAGGTCAGCCGTGTGCAAGGAAAACGCCCTCCCTGCTGTGCTACGGCTCTGGTCCCAGGCTCCTGACTTTCTGTCCCCAGCAATGACTTTTCCCTAGGGCAGAGGACTGAGGGAGGATGCAGGCAGCACCGCAGCTGTGAGGAGGGTTCCCTTGTGGGGCCCGGTAGTGCCCTCTCATTGCCCCACTGCAGGCCTTGCAATGGGGACAACCCGCCTGCCCTGTGCTTCACGAGCCCGTCAGAGGGTGCCCTGCAAAGCAGGGAGGTGACCGCCCAGTGGCCCTGGGCGATGCATCACTGGCACAGGCCGAAAGAGCAGGGCATCAGGAGACAGTCAGTGGGCCCAGGGTTCAGTGCAGAGGCGCGAGGCCCCTGGTGCTGCCCACTTCCTGGGTCCCTGGTGAGGGTCTTCACCAGAGGGGTGTGGAAGGGAACAAGGGCACAGGGTCCTGGCAGCAATCTACAACCTATCCTGGTCCCGAGGCCCAGAAATGGGCACCCAGCACCTGGTGCGTGAGCGGCAATGAGCCCTTTCAGTTCCTCAGAGAGCAAATACAGGGTATTACTACCGCCGCCACGGCAGGATAAATACAGCTCTCCTTTGTGCTACAAATGCATTTTTATTGACATTTTGGCAGCAGTGGGCTGGAAGCAAAGCAGGTGATCTGAGGCTCTGGGAGGTGTGACTCCGGGAAGGCACAGGTGGGGGGGGGGGAGGGGGGCGCAGCTTAGCTTGGGGAGCTGCTAAGTGCCGCTTTTATCTGACTCTGATAGCAGGAAAGGCTAAGAGCGGCCCATAATTAATAGGCAGAGCCTGGTTTCCTTTTCTTGGCGCGGAATAACCCGGCTCACTTTAAGTTTCATCCAATTGCTTCTGGGTATGGCGCAATCTCTAGATTACAGGGGTAGGTCAAGGCGGCAGCTCCCAGGGCTTGTTGAATGAGTAACCCCACTAATGGGCCTGGCTGCTCCCAGGTGGGGGAAACCCTCTCTTAATGGATCAGCTGATCCTGGCTGCAGCGAGCATGAAGACCAGGAGGGCAGGGGCGGGCCCGGCTCCCCCAGGCGCTGGGCCCCCGTGTCTAGTGAGACCAGAGTTTCCGCCTGCCCCAGGAACTCTTACCCATGTACAGGATCCCGTCGGAGCTTCGGCATGGGGACGCCTGCACCAACTCGGGGATGGTGAAGGGAAGTTTCTGGGGAAAAGAAAAAAGAGGGTGGGGCAAAGAACAAAAATAAGTTAACGAAGCCGTGAGCAAGCTTGAGGGTCTTACTGCTCGGTCTGTTTCTATTCCCCGACTGGACTGAAATCGGGACAACGCCGCTGATGACAGATGGGAATTTTCACAACTGGAAGCCGAGGGGGACGGGAGCCCCAGCTTCCGGAGCCATCCAGCCCCTGCTGAATGAAGCGGGACAGACAGACAGAGCACCTCCAAGGGCTCAGCACAGGTCAACTCCGTGGAATGTCTATATCCCTGAAAGCTGCCATTATCACCGTGTCTTCTGATCGTGACCCCACCCCCCACCCCCCAGGCAGTGTTTACTCCTCACTGCCCTGGAGCCTTCTCCCTGGCCACTCGCTGTCCACTCCCACGTGGGGGCTCCTCCACGCGTGCATGGTCACCACAGCTGTCGCTGGTGAGTGCCCTGCAAGCTGGGGCCTGTCCCTGGACATGGCTGCTGTCCTCTCTGATCACGCTTCATAGTGATTTTCACTCTCTGACAGTCACACAGAGTCATGGGACACTGGGTGTGTCCTCTGGTGAGCTTCGGGACACACATGTTTCTTTGGAGGTCTAGAACCCAGGAGGCAGTTAACTGGATTGTAAAGGTTTAAAGAGACACCACCAGGGGCCAGAGGGAGAGTACAGCGGGCAGGGTGCTTGCCTTGCACCTGGCTGACCCGGGTTCGATCCCCGGCATCCCTTATGGTTCTTCAGGCCCTGCCAGGAATGATTCCTGAGTGCAGAGCCAGGAACAACGCCTGAGCTTCACCCGGTTTGGCCAAAAACCAAAAAGAGGGACCTAGGCAGAATCCCAAGCTGCTCAGGCCAATTTCAGACACACCCATCAGCCGCATCTGAAAGTTCTGATACTGGCCCCACCTCTAGCCACCCTGCAAACTCTTTTTCTTTTTCCAGTTTTCTCATTTCAGCCATTCTCCCCACCCCTCTTCTAAAACAAAAAGAGGTCCACTACCTAGAGCCAGCCCTGCTCTCTCTGCTGCCCGTTCCCTGCGGTGTGACGGAGGCCGACCCCGAGGGTGCAGAGGTATTGGTGCAGGGCACTGCTCCGAACCACATGGGTCAGAACGCCCAATGTGGTTCTGCTCGTGGGTGACCAGCAAGGACCCCGGGACACAGGCTGGACACACTCACCGTCAGCCCTTCGTTGTTCTTGCCTCCAAGCGTATACAAGCTGCCGTCATTGGGGTCCGGGAGGAAAGCAGGCCTGGAGGTGAAGGGGTAAGCATCAGGAAGAGCCCAGGCCACGCAGGGAAGGGAAGAGTCCCCTTGGCAACAGAGGAAGAAAACCTCCCAGGTGGTCAGTGCTCTGCCTCAGGAAGGGGCAGTGCAGGGCCACGGGAGACGGTCAGTACCTGGTGGGAGGTAAAGGAGAAGGCCCCAGGGGCAAGAGAGACAGCTCCATGGGCTGAGCGTGGCTCTGCAGGAGGAAGGCCTCTGAGTTCAATCCCCGACACGGCACAGAGCCAGGAGCATAGCTGGATGCAGCCTCAAACCCCCCCCCCCCAAAAAAAAAGTGTGTGTGTGTGTGTGTGTGTGTGTGTGTGTGATGTGTGTATGGAGGGAAGGTGAGTGTGGAGTGATAGCGTAACAGGTAGGGCATTTGCCCTGCATGCAGCTGACCCAGGTTTGATCCCTGGCATCCCACATGGTCCCCGGAGCACTGCCAGGGGTGATTCTGAGTGTAGAACTAAGAGTAAGCCCTGAGCACAGCCCGGTGCAACACACACACAGACACACACACACACACAGACACACACACACACACGAGAATCACTGGGAGAGTTCCCTGGGCTACCTGAGCACTGCATAGGTGACACCATCCTGCCCCCTCAAAACAAGAAGAACTGGACTTGAGTCTCATCTCAAATAAGCCATTTCAACCCCATTCCCTCTCCCCCTGCCCCAAAGACCTGGCACCCCACCACTAAATCTCCATTAAATCCTAGATCTGCGCATACGTGTACTTTCAGCCACAAGTTTGGATACAGTGCCTGAATAATGAAGAAAATGAATGAAGGGGTAGAAATGAAGCAAATCAGAAAACTTACTCTTCCACATGTGTTGGGACCTGCAGAACCGGATCTGTGGGAGAGAAGAGCAGAGGCACGGTCAGGCGGGTGCTGGCACTGCACAGACGGCCCGGTCACACAGACACGGGCCTCTGGGCTGTCACTGAGCTTAGAGAATGTCAGCCAGGAAGCATGTGTCTAACTTGGAGGTGGACACAAAACCATAGTGGACCAACGGTCCCCATCAGACATATTCAGGACTTTCAGACCAGAACCACCACCTCGTTGGACACTTGGAGTGATGCTGGAGATTCTCAAGGAGAAAAGCCAGACTGTGGTATAGGAATCGGGGCTGGAGGGGCCGGAGAGAGAGTACAGCAGGGAGGACGCTTACCTGGTAGAGCATCGCCAAAACCAGAGCCAACAAGCAATCTAGAAGACAGTTTCCCTAGGGCAGGGAGAGCTGGCCCGGGTAGGTCCCCGGAGCCCTGCAAGGAGTGATCCCTGAATGCAGAGCCAGAAGCAAGCCCTGAGCACAGACGATAAGGCTCCCAAGTCAAAGCAACACAAGAAGATCGATTCTGCAGAATGGGGAGAGCGTGGGACAGGACACGTGTCCTGCATGTGCACGGCTAGGTTTGGACCCCTGGCACTGAACTGGCCACACCTGGTTCAATCCCCCCACCAGGTGGGACCAGCAAGAGCACCAGAGGCAGAATCAGGCCAAGTCCTGTGCAAATGGCCCCAGCCCTCGAGCACAGCTGGCTGTGTGCGTACAGATGTGTGTGTACAGGCAGAAAATCAATTTTGCTGATGAGAATCTATTTGGATGGTAAATGATCACCCTTTGGGGTGGGCTGAGCGCTGTAAAACATTCTTTCTTCTTAATACCTTTTGATGTTTTGACTCTATTTTTAAAAATAACCTGATTTAAGCATTAAAGATCTAGAAAACACTTTCTTAGGAGTGATGTGCCAGAGTACTAATAGAGTAGGTTGGGAATTTGCCTTGCCTACGGGTGACCCAGGTTCAATCCCTGGCATCCCATATGGTCGTCTGCGATTCAGGTGAGGGCATTTCCTGAGTGCAGAGCCAGGAGTCCCTGAGCATGGCCCAAACCCAAACCATCAAACAACCTAGAAAACACTTTCTCTACAAAGATGCTCACAGTTCCATCAGAAATGACCCGATGGTTCCACAGCTTGGTTAGATTGTGACATGCCCACCTGGCAGAAAACCAGGTTTTCTCTGAGGAAACTCAGACACTGTCCAGACACACACGACTCTCGGTGCTGTTGTGCTGGAGAAGAGATGGAGCTGTGTGCACACTGAGGGCACAGGTGACGCCGAGTGGATGCGTCTCGCTGGCCTGGTTACTGGTTCCCCCACCTTTTCTTTATTTCCCAGTATTTCTGCAGAGGCGGGCCAATGTTTACAACAATTTCTTAAGTTGTAAAACAGTTTTTTTTTTTACCCCTCCAAGTTGGTCTCATCTTTGCGGTAATCAAAGGCCGTTCCCTCCACCCCTCCACCCCATTACACACACACACACACACACACACACACACACACACACACACACGGAGAGGCTGCTCCTGAGACAGAGGTACAGTGATTCAGCCACAGGCACCCAGCAATACCGATCCACAGCCATGCTGAGGGGGCTTCAAAGCCAGGGACAAACACAGCAAGTGTGCAGTGAGGGGTGAGGAGAGGAGCGTGCTCTCGAGCGGCTAGTACTCCCTAGTACTAGTACTCCCCAAGCCCAGTTCCCCCAGGATGGCAGCCACCATCGTCCATGGACACAGTGGCACCCGCTCCACGTGTGGCCTGCTGGTTGCAAACCACGTGCCTGACTGCAAACAACGGAGGAAACTGGAGGAACTTGCGGCCAGTCAGCGTTTGTGTTTGTGTTCCCGTCAATCATGGCTCGGCACACGCTCACAAACAGACTGATGCAAGAGGCAGGAAATCAGGGCGCTGCCCCCCCCCCCACCATGCTCAGGGGAGGGAGTGATTCCTGCTGGTCACCTCAAGGCAGCGCAGAAGCTACAAGAGCAAGAGCCGGGGCAAGCACTACACGGGGAACCCCGAGGCCGTCCAGCGGGCACGGCTCTCCCTGCCCCACCCCACAGATGGCCGGGGCCTCCCCTCAATACAGGGCCTCTTCTTCAGGGGCAGTTTCTCCATTTGGGGACCTTCTACAGTAGGCCCCCAGCTCTGCGGCTCTGAGAAGGCTCTGGGGGTGCCAGGGCCAGGGAGGGCAGGTGACACCCCCACTGGCACCGCAGAGCCAGTCTTCTGTTCCAGGGCGAGGAGGATGGGAAGTCCAGGAAGAGGACCTGGGGATCCCCTTAGCTTTCCTGCCCACAGAGACGTAAGGTCCCGAGGACAAACCTGCAGGCCAGGTAATGCTCAAGCACACTCCCAGCTCTGTAGACAGATATAGTGCTCAGTGTCGGCATGGGTTGTGACAGGGCCTTTGGATTTCTCTTCCCTGAGAATCATGTGGGGCTGGAGATGGGGCAGGCGCTAAGGCACTTGTCCTGCGCTGGGCTGACTCTAGTTCAATCCTTAGCACCACCAGAAGTAAGCCCTGAGCACTGCTGGGGGTCTCCCCCACCTCTGTGGCACTGTAACTGTCCTCCCGTTGCTCATCAATTTACTCAAGCAGGCACCAGTAACGTCTCACCTCACCCCCCAAAAAACTAAACCATTTGCGGGGCTGTGGGCTGGTTCTAAATGCTGGAGCGCTGGCTTGGCTTGCAGGAGCTTCGGGTTAGATCCCAGTCAGGGGTGTTTCCCCCCCGCCCCCTCCCCCCAATAAATCATTTGGACTCAGGATCCGTCTGAAGCACTACAAAAGGCAGTCACAGAGAGGGACTGAGAAAGTCCATGGTGGCGGTCTGCTGCTGCCTGTCCCTGAGGGCGGGCCAGGGCAATGCCTGGACAAGCCTCTCTCGTGTTAGCCTGAACTTCTGTAGACTCTGAAAGGTTGCAGCGGGGATGATCTGGAAAGCTGGGGCCAGAGCGATAGTACAGCATGTAGGGCATTTGCCTTGCATGGGGCTGGCCCGGGTTCCATCCGCAACATCGCAGATGGTCTCCTGACACCATCAGGAGTGATTCCTGAGTGCAGGGCCTGAGCATCACTGGGTGTGATCCCAAAAGAAAAAAAAAAACAACTATAAAAAATAGTTGGAAATCTGGTAAAATTTTAAAAGGCAAAAGAAAAGTATCATCTGAAAAAACATGCCCAGCCTCCCATATGGTCCCCTGAGCACAGCCAGGAGTAATTCCTGAGTGCAGAGCCAGGAGTAACCCCCTGTGCATCGCCAGGTGTGACCCAACAAGCTAAAGAAATATATAAATAAATAAAAATGAAAAAACATGCCACGAAAGGTGGTTTGTGGTTTTGCTTTTCCTGGCAATTTTCAAGTGTGTGTGTGTGTGTGGGGGGGGGGGTAGGGGGTGACTCAGGGGGGTGCTGAGGATGCTGGGCCTGCACACATGCAAACTTCAGAAGGAAAAAGGTGTGGGGTTGCGAAGTGAAAATTCCCTTGTTGGGAGAAGTTGATGTGTCCAACAACCCTCTGGGCCATGGTGCCGTCTGGCTCTTGCCAGCAGGTCGGGTTTCCCCAAGGGGGGTTGTGAAAGCTGCATCCAGGGTCCTTTTCTCAGGCCTGGATTTCATGAGGGAGAGCCAGACTATTTATGCTTTTCACATGCTCGAGGTAATTCTGATGCTGACTCTCTAGAAACCATCGCTTTGAGGCCCCTGTTTTCCCTTCCAGCTCTCTCTCACCCCTCGAACCCCCTACCCTGAGAACCGGAGTAAGTTCCAATGACCAAATCTAACACACGCTTGCTAGTCCTCCTTATCAGCCTGGCATTCTCCCCTCGAGCCACAAACCCGTGCCACTTCCAGCCACTTCTGGGGCAGCCCAACACGACTGCCCGACCCCCCCCTTCCCAGCTCAGGCAGGCTGCTGGGCCCTACTCCACCTGGCCAGGCTGGTCCTTGGCTCCTCCCTGTTCAACCTGTCCGATTAGACCCAAGTCTGGTAACATTCAATCTCCTGGACACGTTTCTCCAAATCTGGATACTTGCCTTCTCACTGAAACCATGAGGCCACCCCCATTTCTTCCTGGGGCCATGCCACGGTCCCCTGACCAACTTCCTGTCTTAGGCTCGGTCCTTTCGGAGACATGCTCCACCCATTGCCAGGCAGGCCTTGGCAAAGGCACATCTGTCCCTCCCCGGCTCTCCACCGGATGGATCCTTCCGGGCTCCCCTCTGCCTGCCGAACCCTTCCGCCAGCCGCTCCTGCTTCACGGTGGTTTCTTCACAGGGTCCTCAGTCATAAGAGAAACCTGACTATTTTATCTTTTACGCACAGTCAGATCCAGATGACTTAGGTATTTAGGGTCCAATCACTGAGAAGCTAAGTTTAAAAAATAAAATACACATAAACTAAAAGAAATTACTTCAAGTCCTCCCCCTGCCACCTTCCTCCAGCACTGCTGGGAGTTCCACCCCCCTCCCCCCAAAAAAGAAATGACTTCATTCCTAATTATAAATATTTTATTGTTTTGGGGGTTGGCACATCCAGCAGTGCTCTGGGCTTGCTCCTGGTTCTGTGCTCAGAGATCACTCATGGCAGGGATGGGGTACCATTTGGGGTGCCAGGGATCTAACCCGGATTGGCCACGTGCAAAGCAAGCACCTGACCCCTTGTACTATCTCTCTGACCCCTTTCATTCTTTTAAAACAGAATTTCTTCGGGCTGGGGCAATAGCACAGCGGGTAGGGCGTTTGCCTTGCATGTGGCCAACCCAGGTTCGATTCCCAGCATCCCATATGGTCCTCTGAGCACCGCCAAGAATAACTCCTGAGTGCATGAGCCAGGAGCAACCCCTGTGTATTGCCATGTGTGACCCAAAAAGCCCCTCCCTCAAAAAAAAAAACAGAATTCTTACTCTGAGCACTGTTAGTTACAATACCATTAACAACAGGGCTTCATGCATACAACATTCCATTACCACACCCTCTCCCAGAGATTCCCCCACTCC